ATGGCAATTCCCAGATAATAAAGAAAAGGAATGTGTGGAGAGCCATGATCGCCTATGTGCTAAAGGGACACAGCATTTAAAATATTTATATTAGGAGGACAACTCTGAATTCGAAACTATGGAGAAAATAACTGGAAATCACTGACCTTTCTTAACTTGGGATTCATGTCAGTTCATCGATAACAATGAAAAGGAATCTGTGGAGAGCCATGATCCATTATATTCTGAAGGATTCTGGCATAAAGATAAATAAAGCGGACAGCTCAAATTCCTATCATTTGCTTTTGAGATGTACACACTTCTGTAAATTAACTGAAACAACCGCTTTAGTTTCCTTTCTTTCAGCATACTCAATTTCTATTTTTCTTCAGATTAGGTCATTTGCAGTGGTGTGCAGTAATATGAATCTATTTTTGAGGTGTAGAATGAAAATTGTTTGGCCTTAAAAGTATCATCGGTGATTGCATCAGATTTTCGTCACGCCTAGACACTATTGTCTCGACTATCGATTAGTTGTCCTACAGCCATTGTCCGCGATCGACGTTACTCCAAAAAATCGTACGAAAATTGTAACGCTCACACTGGTAGGCCTTACTAGTAAGCAAATCAAAGTACTATAGACTGGACCGGAAACTCTCCTGATTTAAATCAAATTGAGAATCGGTGGTGAATCTGCAAGGAGAGACTTTGTGGAATGGACATATGTAGTACAAACATGTGCACTAAGGCATGTTTCATTGGAAAAATACGAAAAAAGAGTAAATAACAACAGAATTAACTCGTTTTGTTTCAATTAATTTGCACAAGTGTGCACAACTGAATCGACGGAAATTACCGTTAGCCGCAGTTAACGAGTTAATCTTATAGCGTTCGACCGATTTTAAAAATGGTTTCTATTCGTTCTGCTCATGGCAAACACAGAATGCCAAAGTTAAAATTTCGATACTTTGGAGAGAAACGATTTCATATTTTTAGAATCAGAAGATCAAAATTAGATTCTGTTTCTTGGTGTCGATGGACAGAAAATCCAAGACAGTTAATACAATTTAGACACACACACACATACGTACAGGCATACACATATGTAACTGCATTGTTTAAAAGTTATTCTAGCTAGAGGGAAACAGTGCTCATTATAGAGGAGAAAGCGTTTGTTTCTGATGATTGCTGGATATGTGAATCTGCCAGTCTTCATGCAGTGTTAATTTCTATGTTCCCTTTCTCTCTAAATATAATATATATATATATATATATATATATATATATACATATATATATATGACATTTTTATTAAAAAAATATTTTAGATAGCTACATAAAAATTTCTGTTGATTTGGAGATTTGTGTTGTTGAAACATGAAACTGGAGCGATGTTAAACGACTTGTGAGTGAAAGATTAATTTAATTAAATTAAGGAGACACATTAGTGTCGTTGAAACATGATTGTAATCGTGTAGCGATTTTTAACTTTTTTTTGTTTTACTATCCTAAAATAAATAATATTTAGCTCTACTCTGTATTGAGCCCTCTTTTAAATTAAATATTACGTACAGTGGAATTTATTCTCATTTTATCTGGATATATATATATATATATATATATATATATATATATATATATATATGTCATGACCTATACTTTTAAGGTTTACGGGTTAAAGTGCTCATTATCGGTGGTAGAGTGTACGTAAATATAAAATATAAAAGTGGATATTGATGTCAACACCCAGCGGCGACAGTTTGTTTTATTTTTGAACGCAATCGTCAAGCCATATATATTATGTTTTTGATCGACTATTATTAGTAAAATAAATTACTCCAAGACAATAAATAAGGAGTGTAGTTCGTCCGAGCACTTTCCATGGAAGTAGCAATAGAGCAGTGAGAGTCTTGCCACATCCCACCTTTGAGGGAGTGAGGTCGGAGGGTGAAAAGATTGATTAATCTATAATGATATGGAAAATATTTGGAAAAAAATTATTATTGGTCGTACTACCTATTTTACAGCTCCACCATACATATATGTCGAATGCATACACATAATAATCTAATACATACATATAATAATCTAATACATACATATAATATATGTCTAATGCATACATATATACATCTAATACATGCATATAATAAATTTAGTACATGCATATAATGCATCTAATACATACATATAATACATCTAATACATACATATAATATATGTCTAAACCATACATATAATATATGTCTAATACATACATATTATACATCTAATACATACATATATGTCTAAAATCATATATCATATCACATACATATCATACATACATATATGTCTAAACCATACATATAATATATGTCTAATACATACATATAATACATCTAATGCATACATATAATATAAGTCTAATACATATATATATATACATCTAATACATACATATAATATATGTCTAATACATACGTATAATACATCTAATACATACATATAATATATGTCTAATATATACATATACTACATCTAATACATAGATATAATATATGTCTAATACATAGATATAATATATTTAATACATACATATATGTCTAATAACGTATATACGTCTAATATCGTCGACATCATTTATCGATTTTTCATTTCAGAACAAAGGCCTTCACCAAATTGTCTATGATAATCATGATTGTCCTATTATCTGTAGTGTTTTACCTCCATATTATATCTCCCCACCGCTAAGTTACCAGTTGTGTAACAATCAAGCAACTTTTTGCTCCATCTGTTATCCTTTTGTCTCGCTATGTTGGCCCTTTTCTCTCTTATAGCTATTACTGTCATTATGCTTTCTATTGGTATTTGTACATTTCAAATTTTATTTTAAAGCAACTTTTATTAATTTCTATATTTTACAGGCAAGTATAGCAAGTATTATATACTCATTATAAACTTTGCGTTTTAATTATATTCCTAAGGTGTTTTTCATTATATGATTATTTTTATTATTTTTTTTAGCTAATTGTTATGCGCCATTTTATTTCATTTTCATGATCTTTCTTTAACGTAATTACCAGCACTAAACAGATGTATTCCTGAACCTTTTCTAGTTCTTCGGCCTCAATTCTCATGATCCTTTACAGAATGTAAGAAGAGACTATTCCTTTTGCTGGATTTCTGTTCATTTTTTTAACTTGAGATATCACCTATCCAGGTTACTTAGTACGAGGAAGACCCAAAAGTAACGGAAATTGTGTCATAATTTTTATTCATTATTGTTGCATGTTTATATTCTTATCACCTTCAAAGTATTCTCCATTTGAAGCAATGCACCGGTCCAGACATGTTTTCCACTGTTCAAAGCAATCATGGAACCTTTTGTGAAGTCATGTTTTTTAATGACTGCGTCGTTTTCTTCTTAACCTCTTCCGCATCTTCAAAACTTTTTCCTTTCAGGACTTTCTTCATTCAGAGGAACAAAAAAAAAAAAGTCGCAGGGGGCGAGATCGAGTGAATAGGGAGGGTGAGGAAATGCCATTCTTGGTCAGAAACTGTCTCACACTCAAGGCGGTGTACATTGTCGCGATGCAACCACCACCCTCCACTTTGCCACATGTCAGGGCGTTTTCGTCTCACCTTGTCTCGCAAACGCTTCATGACTTCCAAGTAAAAACCCTGGTTAACAGTTTGACCAGTAGAAACAAATTCTTTGTGGAGAATTCCTTTCATATCAAAGAAACAAATCAACATTGTCTTGACATTGGACTTCACTTAACGCGCTTTTTGGGGCTCGTGGTGACGTTGGATGCTTCCACTGATTTGATTGCTGCTTCGTTTCCGGGTCGTAGCCATAGTACCAGATTTCGTTACTAGTGATGACCTTCGAAAAAAGGTCTGGATCAACTTCCAACTGTTCTTTCAGTTTAGGACAGGCATCCTTTCAGCCATGGTAAAAATAGACGAAAAGGTGTGAAGCACTTCTAAACAAATGTGAATCACGGAGCTGTACGTCTTCCCACGATGACACCAGTTAACACACTGATGCCTTAGGGTTGCCTCAAGTGGCATCTAAAGGTGGAAGCCTGAACTACTACGGGCTTGTCACACAGAAAACGATTCCGGTTACTTTTGGGTCCCCCCACATATTTCTTGGAATTTATCCGATGTTCAGGAATGTCGTCTGCAAGTTCTAAATCATTCTAACGTTCTCCCTCGCCCAGTTCCTTTCCGAGAAGATAATTCCAAAGCATGCACTGTATATAAAGAAGGCGAAATAATATCATCTAGCCTCATTCCTTTTCAAATCATTTTATCTGTCTCTTTCTGGAGCCGATATATATATGTCGGAGTTAGCTTCTCCTAATTGTTCACTAGGGGTGGCTTCTATGAATTCTGGGAGACTTCTTGCCTCGTTCTCTTTTTCATTTCTTCATTTCAGCGAACACATCTACAATATAAGCTCTCGTAGAAGATAGCGTCTTCCTATTTGTAGGAGACGCCATGAACATTAAACATGCATACACGTACGTACGAACTGTCACCAATATACAAACACTTTACGTTCACACACAAACACAAATGTTAATGTCTTTGTCCATTGTAAAGTTCGTTGTTTAATATATATGCTTGTTGATATATCGGTCTTGTTTGTTTTCTTTACATCTCCAGTTGGACTCAACTTGAGTTCGCATTGTAGTTGGACCTTCTAGCAGGAATAAAGAGCACGTGTCCCTAATTCAACAACACTCAAACCCACACGGTCCACTATTATATATATATATACATACATACATATATATATATATATATATATATATATATATATATATATCACAGATACAGTTCTTATGCATTCTTTTTGTCGCGTAAAATAAAAAAATTAATCTCGACACTTTAAAAAATGGACCAAGATATATATGTCTAAGTAAGTGCGTATGTGTGCGTGGATGAGTGCGTATGTGTCTATGTGTAAATGCGTGCTGGTGTGTGTGCAACTACGTGTGTATGTGTGGAAGAAAGAGACGAAAGATAGACTAAGAAAGAAAGATTGAAAGAACGAATGGACCGGAGAAAGCAAGAAAGAAAGAGAGAAATAAAATGAAGACTAAAAGAAACGAAAAAGGAGAAAGAAAGAAAGAAAGAAAGAAAGAAAGAAAGAAAGAAAGAAAGAAAGAAAAGACTGAAAGTAAAAAAAAAGATAGATTGAAATAAAGGAAGGTAGTAAGAAAGAAAAAGATAGAAAATAGACTAAAAGAAAGAAAGTAAATGAAGATAGACTGAAAGAAAAAGGTTTGAAAGAAACAATAAAAGAAACCGATATAGAAAAAGAAATAAATAATGAAAGATATATTGACTGAAAGATAAGAAAGAAGAATGAAAGAAAGAAAGAAAGTGATAAATAAAATGAAAAAATAGATAAATTATGAGATTAATAAAGGAAATAAATGGAAAACTAGAAAAAGAGAAAGAAAACAGACTGAAAGTAAAAAAGTAAGATAGATAGATAGAAACAAACAGATAGATAGATAGATAGATAGATAGATAGATAGATAGATGCAGAAGATAAATTAAAAGTAAGAAAGAAAGAAACTGAAGATAGACTCAAAGCATAAACGATTGAAAGAAAGATTGAATGAAAGAAAGAAGGAAAGGAAATTGATTGAAAGTAAAAAGCAAGCCAGTAAGATAGATTGAAACAATGAAAGATGGACTAAAATTAAAAAAGAAAAATGAAGATACCTAAAGAAAGAAAGGAAAGAAAGAAAGATTGAAAGAAAGAATGAATTGAAGAAAGATAGAAACGTAAAGAAAAGAATAATTAAAGGAAGATTAGCTGAAGGAAAAGAAAGAAGGTAACAAATAAAAAAGAACAAAGAAAAGAAAAGAAATGGTAAAGAAAAGAAAGAATGTAAAAAAGAAAGAAAAGGAAAACAGGCCTAAAGAAAGACGTACAAAATGACCAAAAATAAAAAAAATGGACTGAGAACAGAGAGGAAACAGACCCCGAAAATAAAGAAAAATAGACAGATGACTTTAAATGATTAATGAACAATGTACACTTCCCTTCGAATTTACAATTGCCCTTGTTCTATACTAAGAAAAGAAAATGGTTTCCAATGCACCATTACTGAGATTATTGTGGCATTTCGATTTCTGTGTTTTGCTGAAATTATTGATCACATTTTACTTTTCATTCTCCAATTTCTCTCTGCAACCTGTTGATCTAACTACATCTACCATTTAGCATGTTTTGTGTGAGCGTGTATTGATACACAGCAGAGAGCACGTAAATTGCTATTGATTCGACACTTAAATTTCTTGCTGATTGTTCACAATTACGGTCTTTTCGGGGTTATACTCACTGGGATTCACATAAAGAAACAAAAATAGTTGCATAGACACAAGTTTTAAGAGCTCTTTCCTTTCCATTCCAGTTTTTAGCTTTACAAGAGTCAGACCAGACGAAAAGAAAAATGAAATATAACTGAGCTGAAGCTATTCAATCCTTACTTTCCAGCATCGATAACGTTCAAAATCGTTTAACAGTCTTGTAGGAGGGGCGAGACATATTCTCCACTCTGCAGCCTCTTTCCCCATAGACGAAACGTTGCAAGCCTAGCACTCAGCTATCGCTACCTCCATGGCAACTGTTCCAATGAGCTCCATGTTTTTTTAATGCAACCAGTTCAGACATTTAAAGCTATGTCTATGGATTCGAATCATCCCCATTTTTTCGTGTTCTGCCATTTTGTGTCACAGAACACTACACTTTTAACTTTTTTTTTCAAGCATTTCACCCCAACCAAGGCAGGAGTGCCACTAGAACGCAAAGGTTACAGATAGTGAGAGCAAGAGTAAAGATGGGTGTTTGAGGAAAGGATAAAGAGAAAGACGGGTGTCAAGATCAAGGCATCAGAAGATGTTGATTGACATTACATTTGAATATTTGAAGAGTATAGCTATCAGGGAAGCAAGTAAGAGGAAGGGAGTTTCACTGTTGGGAAGTGTGGAAACTGTTGGAGTAGAAGGGACGTTTCGTTTAACCGTTTCGACAGTGAAAGAGTAGGATCGCCTAATATTAACATTAGAGATGAGGAGAACAGTTACTACACTTTGTACTTATACCCCACTCCACCTCGCCACGATGGCGGAATATGTCAAAAGGCGGTTTCAAATGGAGAGCCCCAGCGCGTGCATATGGGCCAAGGCCAAAATAAATGACCAGTCCCCGCATCCAACGTTATGCTGGAATTGATATTCCACCACCCCAACTCTTTGGTGCACTGAGAGAGGTGCTGAAATCCCCGGAACCAGGCACCCCTCACTTATTTGAAGACAGAAGAACAATTGAGAGATAAAATGTAGTTTATTCGCCCGAAAGCATTTAATACATTTTGATTCCCGACTGATGGCCGGCTGTGGGTGGGTATAGGAAAATGTAACTCGATTAGCTTTGTGTGCTCCTTGAATCAATGCCGAATGTTTCCTTATAAGGAAATTGTTAATATTATCATTACCATTTTAACACTAATGTTGAGTGGTCCTCAATTTTGGAAAATTCTAATATTAAAAACAAATTTGAAACGTTCTTCAAAATTATGCTTAAGTTTGTGTTTTGTCTTTATACGGGCTTCTGTTGTTATCAACACTTATCATCCATTTTAGTGTGTTGGCTACTTCTATAATTAATGTATAATGTCTCTACAAGAATATTTTATATGAATTAATGTTGGTGAAATTGTATATACACAAAAGACCGATTGATTTGCAATACAAGATAACATTTATTTAACAAAAATAACAAAAAGAAATTTAAAAGAAATGTCCTTACTATGAAATACATGGAATACCCAACGAAAATTTTTCATGTATTTGCGTGTGACTTGCCTGTGTATGGATGCTTTTGAGCGAAGCGTCCAGGGCCCATTTTCCTTCTGTATGAAAAGTTGATGTCAAACACTTCAAAAGAAGGGAAAACAGTAAAAAAACGTTACCAAAGGGTTCGTCTGTTTATATACTCTCAGGGCTGCTGCTTTAAGGCACTACGACATATTTACCTCTTTTAATCTTTCTATCCAGTATATATGCTCGATTTAAAAATATGGCTTATGCTCTAAATAAATTGCGTCACCAGTTGTTATGAATGCCTTTCCCGAACATCCAAATTATCTGTTATTGAATTCCCTATTTGGAAATTGAATGGTATGACATTCACATTGTGATTGTCTATGGGTGCCAGTAGTGTACTGGTACTGAAAGAGAAAACGTCGCACAGATTTTGAGTTTCCCACGTACCCTTTCGCAAATTTCTTACGTACCCATTCGTACGTTACTCACGTACCCTTTCGTACGTTTCTTACGTATACTTTCGCACCTTTCTCACGTACCCTTTCACGGGTTTCTTACGTACCCTTTCGAACGTTTCTCACGCACCCTTTCGCACGTTTCTTATATAACCTTTTGTACGTTTCTTACGTACTTTTTCACACGTTTCTCACGTACCCTTTCGCAAGTTTCTTACGTACCCTTTCGTACGTTTCTTACATACTCTTTGTTGCACATATTCTAGGGAAAGAGTATGGATTAGATTCTTCTTCACTCCCCGCCAGCTAGAGCTTAATACCGGAGTAGACTGTACCCTCTAGCCTTGGTTGGCAACCAGTCGAGAGGTGCTAACTTATAAAAATATTCCCAGCTGCTGTTTTATTAAAACGCCGATGATGTGAGCATGGTGGGGAATTGATTATTCGAGCGAGTTCGAACGAAGTCTAGAACCCTTGATTCCCTTACCTTTGATAATCTTTTCTTTGTCACTCACCTTCTTGTATTTCTTTTTCGCTCTTGTATCTAGTAAATGTCTTTATTTGGCAAGAAATAATACATTTTAAAAAAGAAAATCAGAGAAAAAATGTCTGTTTATGATCAGGTTATCAGAAAGAATTCACACCAAATTACATCAGGCAAATAGTATTAAAAACAACTGTAAGTAAAATGCGGAGGATAAATAGAACAGGACCAAAGGTCATTGAAACACTTGAACTTGTCATAAAAACGTCTGAATGCATTCTGCCAGCGTAATTCTAGACGCCATCAGCGTGCAAATAATCACAGAAGCTTTGATCAATTAATTCTTTTCTAACAGAGCATAATAGTTATTGAGCACTTGAAAGCGTTAACAACTAATCATACTGGCCCTAACAACTATAATGACAACAGATATAATGGCCAATACAAGAAAGAGAGAGTGACAGAGAAGAAGAAGAAGAAGAAGAAGAAGAAAGTAGGAGAGAGAAACAGAAAGAGCGAGAAAGAGAAATAGGAGAAAAGAGAAAATGCGAAATACGAAGAGAAAAAGAAAGTGAAAGTAAAAGTGAAAGTAAGAGAAATGCGGGAAAAAGAGAAAGAAAAAGTCGAGATAAAGAGAAAGAAAAAGTCGAGATAAAGAGGAAGAAAAAGAGTAAAAGTTAGGAAGAAGAGAGAAATACAAAAAGAGAGAAAGGGAAACAGGGAAAAAGAAAGATGTAGAGAATTAGAAATAAAGAAAGAAAGAGAAAATTAAATCGAAAGTAAGGAAGTGAAATAGGTGAAGAACGAGAAAGAAAAAGAAGGTGAGAGAAAGAGAAAGAAAAGGACAGATAAAGAAATTAGAGAAAGAAAGTGAAAGTAAGGGAAATATGAGGGAGAAAAAGAAAGAAAAAGAAGGCAAGAAAGAGAGAAATATAGAGAAAGACAAATAGAGAGAAATAGGAGAGATAAAGCGAAAGAAAAAGAAAGAAAGAGAAATTAGAAGAGAGAGAGAGAGAGAGAGAGAAGGAAGAGAAAGAAAGGGAAAGATAAAGAAAGAGGGAAAGTAATGGAGGGACAGAGAAATAAAGAGAAACGGAAAAGAAAAAAGAATGATAAATAGAGAGAAAAATAGGAAACGAAAAAGAAGAGAAAGAGAGAGCGATAGAAAAGAGAGATAAAATGTATAAGAAGGACAATGTAGAAAGAAAGAGAAAGAGAAAGAAAGAAAGAAAGAGAGAAAGGGTGAGTCAGGAAGAAATCTTAATTACGTGTCATTTCGTAAATAATAACCAATTGTGTCTCTCCTATCTCCGTGACGTATCAGCAAACAAATACACCTAATTATGAAGGACAGACAGACGACATACTGTAGGTTACATATTCACGCAGTCGCCAGCACACGATCGAAATACGCACACTCGAAAGACACACACTCAGAAGACGGACACTCGAAGGACGCAAACTCAAAAGACCTACACTCAGAAGACGTACAGTCGGAAGATACACAGTCGGAAGACGGACACTCAGAAAACATACACTCGGAAGACGGACACTCGAAAGACGCACACACGAAAGACGCAAACTCAAAAGACATACACTCAGAAGAGGGACAATCGGAAAACGGACACTCAGAAAACACACACTCGGAAGACGGACACTCGGAAGACGCACATTCAGAAGACGGACTCTCCGAAGACGGACACACAAAAGACAGACAATCCGAATCCGGTCACTCGAAAGACGTACATTCAGAAGAAGGACACTCGGAGGACGAACACTCGAAAGACGCACACATGGAAGGTTCTATTCCTGTTGCAGGGTACATATTTTCTTATTTTCTCGGAGATTTCTCGGACAATCAGGTCGGTAAATGTTGTTAATACTGCTTATTAGAAACAGGCCATTCACTTAAATAATTCTATCTATAAAAATAACGTACAAACAAAAAATATATTAAAGTAATTGTTGGACTTAGTGCATTTCATAATATATATATATATATATATATATATATATATATATATATATATATATATCAGGTGATTATATGAGTGCTACGTGTGTATTGGTAACTCAATACTAATTGCCGCATTGTTGGGCTATCTGCGAATAAAAATAAACGCCCCCCCGACATCATTAACCTCTTTAATATCACCAGCAAACTCTTCGAATCTGGTAATCAACAAAAACACTTTCTGAGCGATAACCATTAAGGATTTCGCCCGGCTAGATCCAAAATTGATGTCTTAAATGCCATTACTCACAGATTCAGCGAGCACTTAGAAAATAAATTCATCACGAGGATCATCGCCTTCGATATATAAAAAGCCTTTGACAAGGTGTGGCATAGCGGGCTGATATATAGACCCTCTAGCTTGAAGAGCTTTCTCAATTTTCAAAGCCTTCCTCCTGTTGAATGAGATCAATGGCGATGTTCCTCAGGGTTGACTTCTCAGTCCTACACTCGTTCTAGTAAATATCTTTGTTTAGTGAATGATACAACAATTTATAGGCGCACCTCAAAAGATGAACCTAGCAACTGATCTCTCCGCTGACCTAACCCTTTTGGTTCAATGGGGGTCAAAGACTGGCTTATGAAATTCAATTCGGCCAAAATCAAACTCGTAACATTCCACCATTATCGAGCAGACCCCAAATATTCACGTACCATGATGGATGCGTCTTCCCTAAAGGAGGTTTCTTGTTTTGAACGTCTACAGGGAATCAAGCTCTTCTCTGATCTCAAGTTGAACTGATATATCTGGTTTATTAATAAGTATATTGGGTAAATGGTTAGTTCATTTTAACGCCCCAATAAGTATTCGGCACCTCCAGCTATACTCTATGTTTTTTTTTGTTTTTTTTTTAAAGCCAGATCAGAGCGGATCAAAAATGGAATATTGCTGGCATATCTTGGCTGGAGCTATCCAGCTCTCACTTGACAGTTTTGATAGATTTCAAAGGTATTTACGGATGAGTCTTTATTTTCCACCCCACAACTCCTTTCCTCCAGACGAAACGTCATTAACCTCTCGTTATTCTATCGCTATTTCCATGGCAAGAGTTGGGTCGACCAGTCCTGGCCTTTGCAACTGGGACCTAGATTGAACCGTCAAATGGCAGATGAATCATTTCATGGGAACAACGTCCATCTTGTGCAGGCAAGAAGGTTGTTGTTCAGCTTTTCGATGATCCCACTTGGAGTGTAGTGTTAAACAATAGTTTAGCCGACTATTATCTTTTAGAGAATTGTATTTTTACTCTGACTTCCTCATGTTGACCTTTGGGGTCAGATACAGGAAAACAAAGAAAGTCGATTATGATTGGCTAAAACTACCGTGGGAATGATAGATATAGAAAGAGATTTCAAGGAGATGATTTTTACACGTCGAATAATGTAGACGTGTGGAATTCGTGTCTGGAAATTGCTCCCCAGTGGGGTGGGTTAGCAACCCAACTGGTTAGTGGGAAATGTACACGTCAATTTGTTGAATAAAATACTTACCATAATTCCCCATGTATAATATGCCTTCAATCAATAATACGCACCGCTAAAATTGTGTTGAAAGTGTGGGAAAATGCTTCTACTCACGCATAATCCGCACCCCTTGTTTGGTAATCAAATCCTATAAATTGTACCCGTCCAATTTCATTACGGCCGGGTTTCCTACTCTTAATTAAAGAAATGGTTTTAAACATAGAATAATATTATTCTAATTTAATTTTATGATAATTATTATTTTATTTTACGGCAATTTTTAAAGATTTTTTTGTAGCTGTGCATAATATGCACCCCTGATTTTTCATATTATTTTTTAGAAAGAAATGCGTATTATACATGGGTAATTACGGTAAGTTAAAATTCCTTTAGGAAGTTCTTTTTTAACTCCGAACTAAAACCAACCAGCTATAACCGGCTTTGAGAGCGAGAAGGCAACGTCAATATGAATGAATTGACGACGTCGCCCCAAGACCAACCCCCACCAAAGGGGTATAGAAAATTAGGACTCCTTAGCGTTCATTAATGTATACAACTAGAAGAACGAAAAAATTGTTGTAATACCAGCGAGTTGACAGCATCCACTGATGTTGACTGGTTCTTTTGGGGGACACCATTTTCTTTTTTAGAGTGTAATATTGAACTTATGCAGCGTCTTTCTAAACTTCAAAACAATTCATGCACAGGCATCGATTCATACCTGAAGTTTCTATATTTTGTACTCTTTTACGAGGTAGCAGCACGCACACACACACACACACACATACACACACACACACACACACACACACATATATATATATATTGAAAATATTTAGCTAATAATTTCCTGCTGTATATTTCTAATTTTCCTCCTGTAAATTCACACACACACACAATGTATATTTCAATGGCAGGCAGACACACACACACACACACACACACACACACACACACACACATATATATATATATATAAGTGTACCTGCATTAACTTTGAAATATATTCTAAACATTGAAAAGTAGGAAATTATTACCTAAATATATATATATATATATATATATATATATATATATATATATATATATATATATATATATATATTGGCCTGACGAACTATTGAATATATATATATATCAAGTCAACACTTAGAGGCGATATATATATATATATATATATATATATATATATATATATATATATAAGTGAACATTGAAGTCAACACTTAGAGGCGACAGATTGTTTCATGCATAAACTTATATATATATATATATATATATATATATATATATATATATATATATATATATAGATATAGATAGATAGATAGATAGAGAGAAAATAGTGAGAGATAGAGGGATAGAGATAAATGAAACCCTCGGACACGATGACTTGTGATTACGTGCTAGCAGAACCACCGGTAGCTCCCAAGGATTCCGTCTATTGAGTGTACTGTAGTCATAGCAGTACCTGATTATTTTAAGACATTTTTATGTTTAACATTCTTTTTATAGATACAAGTATTTAAGTAAATGCTCTGTTTATAATAAACAGTATTAAACAACATTTACCGGCCTGAATGTTCGAGAAACATAATACATGATTATATGTGGAATATATGATTTGAAATCACACACACACACACACACACACACCCACTTTCTGAAATTTACCACAGAGGTGTACGCTTTTACAACCCTACATGTCGCGTGTAGATTTCTCTCTTGAGCTTAAACAATAATCAACAAATTTGCAGCAAGAATCATTTCAGTTGACAAAGACATACATCGTTACTAAATTAAGTTCACTGAGTACAAAATTTGTGGCTTAAAGATCAATAACTTTTCTTGTATGTGCGTGTATATAATATTCGGGAATAAAGGAGAAAAGAGAGATGGCCAGAAAGAGAAATTTAAACGAGAAGGAACAGAACAATTGAAGTTGGAAGGGGAAGGACAATTTTATTCCTTCCTGTTTCTTTCTGATTGATTACGGTTCCACCATCTTTAAATCTGTCAATCCTTCATCTTAACCTTATTCACATTTCCCGCCAGAACCGTCACGTTATTTTTTAAAATGTTTCTTTTTCATTGTTAGTTTCTTCTCTTTCTTTTTCTATCTGCTTGCCTTTTCTTATTTCCTTTCTTCTTTCTCTTTCTTGTTTTCTTTCTTTCTTTTCACGACTCTTTTCACCGCTTGATTTCGCATTCCTATACAGCGTTCTTTCTTTATCGCACGTTGCTCACACTATTCTTGTTTTATTCTGGAACCCACTCAATAATCTGACGCCATTTTGAATTTAAAAAAAAAATCTTTTAGTTCTAGTTCTTGTGTTTCTCCCTTTTTATTTTTTTCATTATATCTCCACCCAGAATTTTCTGCAATCCTCTTTCTTAATTTTTGTATATTTTTACCCTCAATTATTGTTTTTTGTTTTTTTTTTCCCTCTTCTTTTGCCTTCAGCTTCTTCACCGATATTTTCTTGATCTTCATTACCTCCCCTTTTCTCTTGTTCGATTTTTCTTAGAAGTATTTTGTAATAATCTTTTCTCTTCTTGATTAATTTTCTAAAAATCTTTTAATTCTTCTTCTTTCCTTTTTTTATTCTCCTTCTTTTTACTCCTTTCTTTACATTTTATTTCTTTCTTTTCATCTTTTTCTCGTCTTCTTTTATATTCTTTTCGTTTTCCACTTGACTGCTTCTTTTTCCATTCGCATCTTACATTCCACTCAAGAATGCCTCCAAATCGACAATTTAAAACTCTCACCAGTTTTTATCGACAGCAGAATTACTTTTACTACAAGATGGCTGACACTCATATCTTTTTCAAATCAATTATTTCTTGGGTTCAATTGTTTCCCCTATATTTCGCTATCACCAGCCCAAATAATAAAAAGCGCAACAGTACAAATAGTAACAAAAGGGAGGGGATCTTATTTCTTTCGGGTGATACACAACACAATCGTTCAGACATTGAATAATCGATCCTTCTCATAGCTTTGGGATTATTTTAGTTTTGAGTGTCACGAAAAAGTTGATAATAAGAGAAAGAGCGAAACAAACACCAACTTTTTACCCAAGCAGTTTGGCCCGGAGAAACTGAATAAAGAATTACTGAGTATCCAAAGCTTTCTTTTCTTTTGGTTAAAACATCTATTTTATCAATTGTAGTTATAGGTTTGTATTTACTTAACCCTACAACTGAGTCAGGTTGTGACACAAAGGTCGGTTTTTAACGTGGGGACCCGAGTGTCTCCGCTGGTCTTAGCTGGTCATAGCCTGTCGAAGTTGGTCAAATCTGGTCTAAGCTACTCATAGCTGGTCTTAGCTGGTCATAGCTGGTCTAAGCTATGATACTACCAGCGCAGGGGCGGATCCCTGTGACCGGTAATTATCAGAATGTGTATGCCACTCGATACATAAAAATGCAAATGGCGCAGTCACTCGAATGCAAGGATGCCAATATACGAGGCCGGTTAGCTAATCCCCATTGAATACGCCTGCTCAGGCACAATTATGTTTGTTAAACACCCACAGACTCAATATATGGTTTATACTGCAACTATCCTGAACGGACCTTAGTTAAAGTTTCTGGGAGAGAGAGAGAGCGAGCGAGCGAGAGAGAGAGAGAGAGAGAGAGAGAGAGAGAGAGAGAGAGAGACCTTATCTAGCGTGATCAACATTCTGAAAAAGGGCATCACACTGAAACCCTCGGTCACGATGACTTGTGACTTTGTGTTATCAGAACCACAGACGGCTCCCAAAGGTTCCGTCTATCCAATTTCACTCACTGGTGGCGAGGAAACCATCATTTGAATACTACAGGATTACTTCCCTTGTCAGGTAGAACTCTCTTCTGAAAAGAAGAAAAAAGTATTACCCTCTATTACAATAACCATAAAAAAAACAGTGGGCGGGGGGAGTCTCTTTTTTTCTTTTCCCTTTTTTTCCCCCGGCGAAAAATGCAGCTGTTGCCCTTATATTTACGTTTCACCTTGTGTGGTTCCAACTCATAACAATCTCTGGTTGGTTGTTGGCGGTTAGGCGAAGCATAGGTTCTTCAGATCTTTCTCTACGCTCAGCTATAATGTTTAACAGGCTGCACGACTGTACGCGCTTTTCTCTTTGTGATGCGGTCACGATATCATCAAGTTTGTCCCGCACATTTTACATATTCTTTCCTGGAGTTCGAGAACAACCAAAGGCATTAAAACCTCTTCGGTCCAGGGAGGTGTAGTGGATTGGTAAATAAGACTGTACTTATGCATATGTTAATTAGAAGAATTATCAAGTGTATAACAAAGTAAGAGACAAGCGGAAGTTGATTACTGATCACGTGTTGTAGAACAACAATATGGCGTTGCTGATTTGATGTTTAAGTCGTTTGCATGAGATCAGAATTTGTTGAGATTTGTATCCGGTGTTTTGCAGCTCAGGCAAGGGCTAAAATATTTAAAGACAACCAGGCGAGGAAATGAAATAACTGACCTCTTTCTAGCTTCGGCAAGTTGTGAAGCTATAATGAAAATTTCTGTTATGGCATATACCCCAAACAATTGAAGAATTTGATTTTCAATGAAGTTGACTACTGATCACGTGTTGTAGAACAACTCAATACAACATTTCTTATTTACACAATTTACATATTTGTCTGTTTGTTAAGTTTACAATCAGTTTTGTCCATTTTATCCCAACTTCACAGCAAGACAATTACATATATATATATATATATATATATATATACTTTTTACATTTTTGCGCTATTGTTCACACAATAAAAGTCCTGTGAGCCACTCAATGTAGAGGGTTATTATTGAGCTTGTTTTATAGACGTGAAAGGAAGAGGTCAGAATTTTTTTTTTTACAATCGTGCTAGTCCTGTACAATCCACGATAGCCACTCAAGGTAGTGTTACAGAGTACGAGGCACAGTTTATGTGGATATGTGGAGACGAAAACGGTTAACTCTAGATTTGAACAGATTAAGATTGTAATGATCAAGAAAACATCCTCGTGGGAGTTGGTGTCATAGAACAGTGGTTCGTGGGAAGTTGCTACTCTGGTGGAAATTACATCTCATCAATGGAATACGAAAAGAATAGGGGTAGTTCACCACAATGTGTGTCGCATGGCGGGTATTAGTCGTGGAGGTTAGAATTGGTGGAACTAAGTGATGTAGTTCGTCTGAGCACTTTCCATGGAAATAGCGATAGAGCAGTGAGAGGCGTGCGACATTTTCGTCCGTGAGATGAGGATATGTAGGATATATAACGGTTGACCCTAGCCTTGAAAGGTTAAGATTGTAGTGGATGAAGAAACGTCCTGTTTGGAGTCTGTTTTACAAGGTAGTATCTCTTTTACTAATGGAATACGAGATAAATGAGGTTGGTTTACCTCTGTGTATATAGCATATCGGGTCAGCTGTAAAGGCCTGAAGTGGTGGAACTAAGGAATGTAGTTCATCTGAAAACTTTCCATGGAAATAGCAATAGAGCAGTAAGAGGCTTGTTCTTGTCTGTGATATGAGGATATGTAGGCTATATAAAAACTAAGGAATGCAACTCGCCCGAATATTTTCCATGGAAATTGCAATAGGCTTATAACTCTGGGTCTATCGGAATGGAGTTGTAGAGACGAAAATAATTCATCATCCACAAGGCCACGTAATTGCTTTTAACCTTTCTCAAGGCTGTGAAGATTGGATAGCTTCAGTCCCGACATAACAGGAATACGCGATTTTTCATCTTATCGCTCTTGTAAAGATGGAAGGTGGGGTCAGGTATATTCTGGAGCGGCAAAAGAAGTCAATCATTTTCCCAGCATCTTTAGTAATAGATTGTATACATTCAATTATCACGCTAAACGGTAAAGAGAATACTGATTTAATTATCTGTTTTTTACGGATTATCCCCCCATTGTGTGTTATTTAAAGTCGAAACATATTTTGGATTGTAAGAATTTTTTGCAACTGAATATTGCATTAACAATTATTTAGTGACAACAATGATTTTTCCTGATACACCTCCTACTATTTAATCTATAGCTAGGGGATAAAATGGATCCATACCTTTCTCAAAGTGAATGTAACAAACCCGACTGAAATTCGAACTCGGTTCATTGATTTCTCATTCCGATCCGCCATTCAGTACACCTGCGCTGAAATTAACTCTAATTTAACAAAGTAACATTTTGCTGAATAGAAAACACACCAGTCATAAAATTTAGTCACAACTACCAAGCAGCAACATTCATAGAAACAAATCCCCCCCCCACGCAGACCGCCTACACCCAGACAACAATCGCCCATGCACAGAAACAAGTATATACTAAACAAACTAAATATACTTACCTGGCTTATGTCAGAGGGTATCCCCCAGACGAGGCTCTGCCGAAGGGCAGAGTCTCATCTCGGGAAACAAACTTCGTTTTTACGTGGTCTCTAGGGAATTTTTGCCCGAGCCTACGGGCTCTGATATACCACTTTAAACTCGGCCTTGTGCCACATCTTGCTGCGTAAGACAGCGGGTAAATAATTATACTAAACAGACCGCCTACACCCAGACAACAATCGTCCACGCACAGAAAGAAGCAACCCACCACACAGACCGCTTACACCAGGTGTGTCAAGCTGGCGGCTCGCGGGCCGCATGCGACCGTTTACATGCATATTGACGGCGCTCACAAAGGTTTCTATAGCCGTGGCACATCGAGAATTTTGTCTATGTTGGTAATGTAAATTATTAAAATCAGTGAGATTTTTGTTTTCGAATGTCAGTAACTATTTTTAACTGGTTAATCATGAGATCATCCTAAATAAGAAAAGATGTAAAGCGAAAACGTTCGAAATTTTGTAATGTTTTGCCTTTAAAATGTCGAATCCTACTCCATCTCATAAAAAGAGAAAATTATCTGAAGAAGACGTGTGTTTCAAAAAAGTGGGAATTACAGTGTAGTAAAAACAGAACCAGTGAATAAACTTTATTGCACTTTACTGACTACTCATCTACTGACGGATAAAACAGTGCTTTTTATATCTCCTAAAAGTTAAGGGGAGGTAACTGACGATTTATCAGTACATTCTCCCCTACATATTTTATTCATAAGGGAGAAAATCTCTTAGGTGTCCAGGATCTTTACAGATTCTCTGTAAACACCTGTGTCGTTCTTGTATTGGACTATTAAGACTGGAAGTTGTTTTATTTTGAGCTCGCCTGTCAGTCGGGGAATGAATGTATCTCGCCCTTCTTGATAGACGAGGCCGCACTGAGTCTAAATGTGGATCTTCCAGATCTGATTCTGGATGTACCCGCATCTGGGGCATTGATCGCTCATCAGGATCGTCTCGAGTTGTCTAGGTCTCGGATGTTAATTCCTCTGAAATGTTTGATGGAGGCGCAATGGAAGCTGTGTCATCCTGGGATAGTGTGTCGGGAGTGATTCCGGCACGGTGATCTCCGGATTGAGTTTCAGTGTCGAAGAGATCAGATCTCTTTACTAAGGTGGTTTTAGGATCTGGTACATTTCCAGCAGCAGCCAGATCTCTGAGAGAGACGGTAGCCTGCCTTCCTTCCGTGTGTCGCACGAGTGTGTATGGTGGGTTTGCTTCTATGAGTTCCACCTCGTCTACCAGGGGGTATAGCGAATGTGGCATCCGATTAAATAGTGTCTCCACCTTCTTAACGCCTCAACTATGGCGTAGGTTTCTTTTTCACTCGCCATATGCCGTCGTTCAGATTGAGATAGAGTCCTTGAAAAGAAGTCTACAGGGCGGTCAGCTTGACTTAATGAAGCGGCAATTGCGCAGTCTGATGCAACAGTTTCAACTACCAGTGAGACAGAAGGATCTATAATTGTGATTACAGATTTTTCAATGTCTTGCTTGAGTTGTTTGAATGCTTCTATTACTGGGCAAGATAAGGTAAAATATCTTACTTGTATTCATGGAGAAAGAGGCAATCCATTGTGAATAGTGGGCGAAAATGCCCATAGTTCGTCGCAGCGGACGTATGTTATCTGGGATTGGCAATCTGTACAAAGGTTTTAATCGCTCTGGCTCCGGTGCCATTGATCTGTGGCTTATTGTATAGACAAAATATTGATTTTATGTTGCCAAAACGAGCATTTGTCATTATTTATTGTAAGGTTATATTTGCTTACGGCGTTCATGAACCGTCGAAGGTTTTCGTCGTGGTCCTTCTGATTGTGGCCACATATAGTTACATTATCTATATAAGCAAATTTACTTTCCAGTTTTTCATCCAATATGATTTTGTCTGCTGATTATTCTTTGAAAACTGGCTACTTCATTAGTTACCCCAAAATGAATCCTCCGAAACTGGTACAGCCGGTCAACTGCTTCAAATGCAGTGTAAGTCTGTCTTTTGGCTTAATGGCTACCAGATGATATGCACTTTTCGAATCTAACGTGCTGAAAATACTATATTTAGCTATTTCACATAGCATTTCGTCTATGTGTGGCAACGGAAAAGCGTCCAGAAGAGTGAGAAGAGTGAACCGGTTGATTGTCTGAGAGTAATCGATAACGATCCTTTTTTTCCTTTTCCTTTTTTTTTCTGGTTTTCTGTGTTTGTTATTAATATTTGGACCCTCAATGGTGACGTACTTGGCCCAATTATTCCTTCTTAAAGCATTCTTTTTATTTCGAACCCTATAAATTGTTTGTTGTCATGCAAATAACATCAGCTCTTAATAGCTATTGGCTTACAGTCCTTACAGGGGTACGGAATGTTGGATGCATTCAGTCCGCATATCTTTAAGACGGGTTTATCTCCGCCGATCGGGATTTCTATGCTAGAGCGTGGCTGAAAAAAAATCGTGGGCGAGTATTACCTCACAACAAAGGTCTTTTCATTATCGATAACTTAACAGCTTCAATAGAGATGCCGTTATAATGTAGGTCGGCCAAACAACATCCACTTACGTGTGATAACAAAGACGCGTTCGCCATTGTTACTCTCTTGGAGGAGGGAACATAGTGCCATTTGTGAAGTTTTACTAGACTGTCTCTGATATAGTTTTCCGAACTGCCAGTATTTAATAATGCGTTGGTGAGGACTCCGTTAATTTTAATTTTTATAACAGTTTTTGAAAGACAATCAGGGAACACGGCCAGTGTTGCAGAAAATGATAACGAGCTGACAGGACGGTTAGCTTTGTAAGAGATATTTTTAAACGAACGACATACCTTGGAAAAATTTCCTATTTTTCCACACTTGTGACAACGAGCTTCCTTGGCAGGACATGAAAATCGTGAGTGTAGATTTAGACAGCAGTACTAACATGTCCGTTTGGTTGATGCAGCAGTGACAGATTGTTCTGGGGTGTTTAAAGGTGGGACATCCTGGGCAGGAGTGTAAGTCGAATCATCATAGAGAGGAGGGATTGTAAGAACAGGTTGTTTTAAAGCGGCACACATTGTATCGGGTTAAAAATACGAACTTAACTGTTGTATAGCAAACTCGCAAGTATAAGCTTGTTCATAAGCAACTTTCAAGGTAAGGGTCTTATTTTCAAGAAGGCGTTGCCTTACCTGAACATTGCGTAGGCTATTTACGAAGGCATCTAGAATATGTTCCTCTTGTGCCTCCAAAGTGGTCATGGGACGAAAATTGAAATCCCTGCTTAACGCCCGAATGGTCTTTAGGAAATCATCCAATGTTTCGCCAGATTCCTGTCGCCGGGTAGCAAGTATATGCCGGGCAAATAGTTCATTTTGTGGTTTCACGTAGCTTCTGTGTAATCTTTCTATCACTTCTTCATAAATTTTACAGTCTAAAATGATATCGTTGATTGAATGAGACACAGAGTTAGTCAGAAGATTAATAAGACGATTAGTAGAGTTTCAACGAAGTTCGTAAAAGTTTCAAGCCAGTATGTCCGGAGTTTATCTGCTGCTTCGCTTTCTGGGTTATAGGTAAATCGTTCTGGCCGCATATAAAGTTCCAATGTAAGTGCAATAAATTGTATCAAAAACAGAACCAGTGAATAAACTTATACCGAAGCTTTATTGCATTTACTCGTCTACTGACGGATATTACAGGCGGCTTTTTATACCTTCTAAATTTTAAGGGGAGGTAACTGATGATTTATCAGTACACACAGTATTTTTGTACCACTGTTAATGGAAAGATAAACTGATTGATTTGCAACAACTTCATTGCGACGCCAAAAGAATATAATGTGAAAAGACATTATGAAGCAAAACCATCGATCTTATGATAACTATGAAGAAGATATGCATGTTTCAAAACTGAAGGAATTCAAGGTTATGGTAACACAGCGACAGAGTTGCTTTACAAAGATTCAGAAAAGCAACGTTAGTTCTGTTACTACAAGCTTTGAACTCTGTGATGTCTTTTAAAAACAACTGAAATTGTATGTCCAGAGAAGTCACAATTATTTCAAGACATTTCATTAAACAGGAACACCGTTGCTGAACGGATTGATGAAATGGCAGGTAATTTGAGTCGACAGTTGAAGACTTTATCATCAAGATTTGAAAATGTTTCTATTGCTCTGGATGGGACTGTTGACATAGCTGGAATAGCACAGCTCGCCATTTTCATCAGAGCTTGTGACAATGAATTTCAAATTTATGAAGAACTAATTGAACTGGTCCCAATGCATGATGCTACAACAAGCCAGGATATTTTTGAGAAAGTTGAACAGCTTCTCCGTGAATATGGCCTTGATTTGAGTAAACTTGTGTGTTTATCTACTGATGGTGCTGCCAATATGGTTGGGAGACATAATGTTGTTGCTGCCAAGTTAGGTACAAAAATAGAAAACATATATCCAGATTCAAAATTCAAGCATTTTTACTGCATAATTCATTAACAGAACTTATGTTCCACGATTTTAAAATTAGATCATGTGTTGAGTTTTGTCACAATAACAGTAAGCTATATCAAAGATCGTGCTCTGCATCACCATCAGTATAGCTAGTTATTGGAAGACGTGAATAATCAGTTCACAAATTTTTTTATTGTGACACGAAATTGTTACGTTTTTGGAGATGAAGGGTCAAAGAACAGATGAATTAAAAGATGAAAGCTCACTTCAAGATCTAGCTTTTCAGTGGATATTACTGACCAATTAAGTGATCTTAATTTGAAATTACAAGATAAAAATAAGCTCATCACTCAGTTATATGAGTATATCAAGTGATTCATTGCAAAATTAGCTTTATTGAAGTCCCAGTTGTCACATGAAAACTTGATTCATTTTCCTGTGTGCAAGGAGTTGAAAAAAACTGCCAATATTGAGTTTGTATTTATCTTTGCTCAGTACGACAATTACCTGGAATTGCTGTCAAAGGAATTTCAACAAAGATTTGGGGATTTTACATCTTATGAAGATCAGTTTGCATTATTATTCAACACCATTCACTTTTGATGTTGCTCAGGCAGAGGAAAGTCTACAGATGGAACTACTGGAAATGCAGACTGACTCAACACTCAGGGGAAAGTACCTAGAAGTAGGGGTATCCGAATTTTTTTCATACCTTCCTCAGACATTTAAGAACTTCAGAAAGTTTGCCACAAAGTTTATGGCGATGTTTGGTTCCACATATGTCTGTGAGCAGTTATTTTCGTTTATGAAGGCCACAAAAAACATCTCACAGAACCAGATTAACTGATGAACATT